ATCAATAAATGGGCGCAGCTTGAGACCATACTCATTAGTGAAATAAATCAATCTCGCATGTGTGAATACCGAATAGTTTCCCTAATGTAAATAATGATTCAAATATATAAAAATATGTGGTAATCATGATTCCCCATTAGGTGGCCTTAAAGCCTTATAAAGTTTTCACTCATTAATTAGAAAGGCTTTATTCTGGGCTTCTTGATATGAAAATATTTGAAGCTAGAGTATATGAAGTTTTATCCAAATATTTCAAGGAAAAAGACACTATGGTAACTACTATTAAGTCAGGTTATAAGGTGGTGAAGTACTAGGTTGTTGAAACAGTCATGCTGTGACCTCTATTGTTATATTGTTATGTCCTGTTTTATCTCAATCTCCCCCTTATTGTTTCAAAAAATATTATTTAGTCATTTCTTATGTTTGTCTTAATTAAAGAAAAAATTCAAAAAAATTAGGATATATAAATAGTAACTCTTTTCGATTTCCTATTAACTTGTTTTGAAGTCCTGTAGTACTCCCACGATCTTGTTTTGACTGATTAGACTCTGTTCCATTCTATATGATAGTATCAAGTTTGAAGACATAGGCAACTACTTTGAAGACAATAAGATTCACTAAGATACCCATTCTGGTTTGACTATTGTCTTCTTTGGAAGTCCTGTAATGTTTACAATGCCTAAGTTTTATTGGTCTTGTTCTCTACTGTTTTGTCCAACTTTATAATATCTAATAAGATAGACAATTCTTTTTAAGGAAACAAGGGACAACGTTGATAACCATTGTTGATAAACTTGTACTGTGTTCTACACCATGTGCTATGTCTATCCTTGGTATTGACTGACAGCTTTGTTTTGCCATATTTGACTGTATTCTCCCCCCCCCCCAAGAAAGTAATAAGCACTAAGGAGTAATAAAATCCAAGATGTGTAAATTTTGTTGTAAAAAAGAGAGGGAAAAAAAAAAGAAAAAGAGCTCTAACGGATATAACAGCAAGTGTGTTTGGGGGTGTTAAATAGCTGACTTTATCAATGTTTTTGGAACATTGAACACAGCTGTTTGCAGTCTCCCTGTTTGAATGTCCACCTTGTGTTCTTTGATACTGTGATTTGAGGAACTATTTTCAAGAAGATAGTGTGTAATCTACTAGCAGGTAATTTCTTACTGTTATGTTTTTTTGTTTTGTTTTGTTTTGTTTTGTAATTCTGTATTGCGTGTACCCTTATGCCGCTTTGGTTTGTTTTGTGTTTTTCTCTTTTTCCTCTTAAATAAAAAAAAAAAAAAAAGAAACAACAGAGCCACCTGAGAAACTATTGGAGTTGCTTGAATCAAGGTCTGTAGTTCTGTAACATTCTACCAGAGCACCAACCTCTGATCATACTTTGGGGTCTCACTTTCGGGCTTAAGGATTGGGCCATCAGACATTGTGCGAAGGTGTCAAGAAGAGAAGCTGAGATGCTGAGATGCTGCTCAGTGCATAAATGGTGAAACATGTTGTGCTGTTTTGCATAAATAGTAATTGACCTTTTCTTGTTACGTGACTTGGGACTGCCACTTTTGCTTAAGGATGACTTATAATAGTACAATCTGGATCTGTCTCCCTGTTTCCTAGTGTCTTTTATTTTGCTTTCTAAATTATTTATACTTTGGATTTCTCATATGAGAGAACTGTGTGGTATTGATCTTTTGGAAGTGGGAACAGGGCCAAGAGATGGAAAGTTGGGGAGAAACAGGAACAGGGGAGGTGAAAGACTGCTCTGGAGAAACACCCCAAAATTCTAATTTCTGCTATTCAGTCATATACACACACAACTCATTAACATGAACATGAGTTATAATCTGAGAAAAATATAATTAACTCAACATTCCTTTTATTTATTCTGTATGCTGTTGTTCTGACTGGATTTGAGATACCCTGGTCCTACTGGAAACTTATTTATAAACTATTTCTTAAAACTGCTCAGTCCTTTAAAATGATCTATCTTTTTCAGTGTCTCACTTTCTTTAATAATTTAAGAAGCTGTGCTATTTTCTCCTCATTCTACATTTTGGTTTGTGCATTTCCTACCTGTACAAACTCTTCCATAACTTCAATCTGTAACAAAATAAAAGCATCCAAATATCTATTTCTAGACCGGATTCTGCCCATGAGTTCTGTAAATACTTTTACCCTCCCACTGCACGTCTGCTCTTGACGTTCATCGGTATCTCAGATACAGTCCCTAAATTAACCACCTTTCTCTTCAGATCCTCCCCTTATACCTCACAGCATAGTTAATGATGCCATTAACTGGTTGCTCCTTCTAAAAGTTTTGGCATTTCTTTCCATTTCTCCCTTTTCTTTGTGTCATGTCTTGGCTACTTCTATCACGTAATTGAAGTTCTATAGATGGTTTTCTTTTTTATTTTCATTAGGACATATTTGCAGCAATGATTAATGATTACCTTTATCATGGGGAGATGTGTTTGTATATGTACACAACGCAATTCTTTTTCTTAGTGCGTTCTCTTCTCTTCCTTCCCTGCTCCCTCCCATTCTTCTCCTTTGTCCATTTACAAAAGCTCTATTTCTATTTTTCTCACTTCAACTCTTGATTAGAATCCCATTTCTCTTCCTCCCCTCCTCTCTCCATATCTAGTTCCCTTTCCCATTTGAAAAAAAGATCTCCTTATTTCCTATTATCTGTGTTTTATATTTCTCCTTATTTTTACTTTGGGCTTCTTATATCAGAGAAACAATGCAATATCTAAACTTCTATGTCTGATTTATTTCACATAAATTATTTCACATTGTAGTCAAAGTATATTTACCTATCTAAAATGTCTCGTTTATACTTTTGTTGTATATAAATGCTATATTTTCTTTACCTATTGATGGACATCTAGACTGTTTTCAAGATTATTATAAATTGTACTTCTATTACCATGAGCATACAGGTGTGACTCTAGTATGATGACTTTAACTCTTTTAAGAAGATACATAGACGGGGAATAGCAGGCTCAAATGGAAATTTCTAGTTCTAGCTTTTTGAGGAATCTCCATGTGGATTGCCAGCGTGGCTCTACCAGTTCATACTCCCACCAGCACTGGAGAAGTCTTCCTTTTTCTCTCTGCATCCTCACTGGAACTTGTTACTGAGTGATTTCTTAATGATTATCATTCTTTCTGGAGATGGAATATCAGTATTGTTTTAATTTATATTTCTCAAGTGGCCTATGATGTCCAACATTTTAAAATGTATTTATTGGTCATTTGTTCTTTATCTGGGGAGTGTCTATTAATTTCAGATGCCCAATTTTGAACTGGGCCTATAAATTAGGGAGGCTAATATTTTGAGTTCTTTATATATTCTAAATATTAGTTCCCTGCAGAGTAGCTGGCAAGTTTCTTTTCCTATTCTTTGGCTTGTCTCTTCACTCTGTTGGTGGTTTCTTTTGCTGCACAGAAGCATTGTAATTGGATGCAATTGATTCTTGGTGCTATCATTGTTTTGTTTAGGAAGTTTGCTTACACCAGTGCCATTAACAGTTTGCCTATTTTATCTTTCAATAGGTTAAGCATTTAATATTTTTATTCTATTTTGATTTTAGTTTAGTACATGGTGAGAGATATGGGTTTAGGTTCAATCTTCAGCATGTAGATAGCCAATTTTTCTAGCACCATTTGTTAAAGATGTGACCTTTCCTCCAGTGAAAGAATTTGGTCCCTTTGTCAAAAATACAATAGCCAAGTATGGCTGGAGTTGGTTTTGCATGCTGTTTTCTATTCCATTGACCCACAAGCTGTTTTTCTTTTCCCAGTACCATGCTATTTTTATCACTCTAGTTTGTAGAACAATTTGAAGTCCAGGATAGTGACGCCCCCTGTCTTATCCTTCTTGCTCAATATTGCTTTTGCTATCGTAGGTCTCTTCTGGTTCCATATGAATTTTAGGATTATTTTCTGTAGTTCTGTGAGGAATACTATTGTTATTTTGATTGGGATTACATCACATCTTTATAGCAATTTTGGAAATATGGCCATTTTCATTCTATTGGTTCTGCCTATCCAGAGGCAGGGGATAGCTTTCCCTTTTTCTGAGTACTACAGTTTTCATTGTAAAGGTATTTCACTTCAGTAGTTAGGTTAAATCTTCATGCTATTGTGAAAGGTGCCATTCCCTAAATCCTCCCTCTTTGAGTTTGTTAATCTGCACAAAAATACTATTAAGTGTTAACTTTGTATCCTGCTATACTACTGCATTTGGATACTAATTCCAGGAGTCTTTAGGGGTTTTCTACGTAGAGGATCATGTCATTGGCAACTAATGATAATTTAACTTATTCCTTTCCTATCCATACCCCTTTTATTTCTCTCTTGTCTAATTGCTGTGGCTATTGTTTTAAGAACTCTGTTGAACAGGAGTGATGATGGTGGGCATCCTTGTCTTGTTCTTAATTTTAGAGTGAAAGCTTTCAGCTCAGAAATGGGGTGTGTACTTGAGGCTGATGTAATGGGTATCAGACCCGTCATCCTTGCCCTGACATCCATGGTGGTCTTTCTTCTCCAGCTCCCACTCTTGGCTCTTCTCCACACTCCACTATGTAATCCTGTATGGGACCTTGTATCAAGAGAAGGCTGTGATGACAGGATAGCTGCCTGTGTGGTGACCTTTAAATTCCTACAGCAACAGTAGAGAGCTTCCCTCTGAGGTGAATAGCTTCAGACACTCATTCTTTTCCATTCTTTAGCTTCTCTTCCACAACAGTCCCCTCTCTGATCACCCCCTTCTTGTAATGTGCAATGGAACCAATGGGGCATATGTAGCAGAAGAGCTTGGGGTATGCATGTCCTCACTTGTGCATTGAACAAATAATAACATGTCCAAGTGTACACATCCTGTGGTGACTAAACTACTCTGGGGCAAAGTAGGCCAGGATCAGGACCTAAGGAGAAAGACCTAAGGCCCTGGTCCAGCTCAGGGCTTAGTGTGCCTGTGAGTCAAGTACCCAACCACTACACATGTATGAAGCAGGAAAACAAAGCTCCCTTCTTATGGGACCTCTAACATGATCTTTCAGGGCTGATCTCAGCCTCTGGTCCTGGTGGAGGAGCAAAGTAACCCCCAGGACCCAAATGGATGAAAGGCCCTATCTAATTTTTTCTTGAATCTCATCTATGATCCACTGAGTATTCAAGAGGATATTATTTGACTTCCATGTGTTTGCATAGTTGTAGTGGTTTTTAACATTGATTTCTAGTTTCACCATACTATAAAAATGTGTGGGATAATTTAATTCTTTTGCATTTACTTAAGTATGCTTTATGAGCTAGTATGTGGTCTATTTTGTAGATAGTCATATGTGTTGCTGAGAATGTATATTCTGTTGGGTAGAATTCTGTAGATGTCTACTAAATCCATTTGTTCAAAGGTTTGGTTTACCTCTGACATTTGTTGATTTCTTTTTTGTCTACTAGATGTGTCCATGTGTAACAATGGGCTATTGAGGTCCCCCATTAGAACTGTACTGGTGCTTACCTAGTTTTTCATGTCCATTAGTGTTTGATTTATAAAGTTTGTTTTGCCAGTACTCAATGTGCATATGTTTATAGTTATTTCTTCCCACCAAATTGCACCCTTAACCAGTATGTAGTGACTTTGTCTCTTCTAATCAGTTTTGGCTTGAAACTCACTTTGTCTGCAATTAGGATTGTTATTCTTACTTTTTTCTAGGTTCCTGTTACATGGAATATTGATTTTCAGTCTTGACTTTTACTCTGTGAATTTCTTTTTAGGGTGAATGTATTTCTTTTATATAGTATATTGTTAGACCTTTCTTCTTGACTCATTCTTTTTTTTGGTACTGGGGATCGAACTCATGACCTTGCACTTATCAAGCAAGCACTTAAGCCACTGAGCTAAATCTCCAGCCCTCTTCTTGATTCATTCTGTTAGTCTGTGTTTTTTCATTGGTGAACTGAGACCATTCATATTCATGATTATAACTGATAGGTAGTGACTTATCCATGTCTCTGTATTATTTTCGTGCAGCTGATTCCTTTTCTTTTCCTTCTACTTAATTGCTTGCATTCCCTTGTGGAGTCACTCTATTGGACTCTTTGGTATTGTTAGTTTTTTTTTTTTTAATTTAAATCTCTTCCTAGGATATCCTTGAGAGTTTCTTTTCTTGGAGTGCTGGTTTGGTAGTCACAAATTTCTTTACCTAAAGAAATCTTTATCATGGAAATACAGTATCTTATTTCTCTATCAAGTTTGAAAGATAACTTTGGGGTCTAGGTCAGTCTGGGTTGCAAGGTATTTTCATATAGAGCTTGAAACACTTCACTCCAAGCTCTCCCTGACTTTAGGGTTTGTGTTGCAAAGTCTGTTGTAAAACATATGAAACACTTCACAAATTTGCATGTCATCCTTGCACATGGGCCAAGCTAATCTCTGTATCATTCCAATTTTAGTATATACATAGCCAAAGTGAATGCTAGATTCTATTTTCTATATAGCTTTCAAATATCGCTCTTTTTCTGATCCCACCTTTATCTCAGTTCAGTAGATTTTTATTTTACTTGCTATTTGAATATTGGTTGTAAAAATGAAAAAGATACCTCCCTGAGGCCTTCTAGTTACAAGGAAGATAAACATATCATTTCAGAATAATAAACACTAAGATGGCATCATAGACAGGGGACTATGAGAAACTGGAGAATTGGTGCTTTACCTGTACTTGGAATTTAGAGCAACTTCATTGTCAGTAATGAATCTTGAACTGGGTAGGAATGAGGTCAAGTAAAGTGCAAATGCAGGTGGAAAACATGATACGAGCAGAACATTGTCTTGGATTAGGTGTGAATGGAAGCAGTGAATTAGGAGTATGTTGAGCACTATGTTTATCATGGATAAGTGTTAACCAAAGCATGTGGACTGAACTTAAATAACTTAGACTTAATATTATAGGAAGCTGTTTCAAATTGGGTTCAACAGTGATGCTTTCAAGTTCACTGAGTGGGAAAGCATGAGGAAAGGTTAACTGCGCATCATGGCTTTGACAACTAAAGTAAGCTAGCTTACTTTTATCACATCATCTGCAGAATACTTCCTTTATCTAAGCATGCTGAGTTTTTACAAAATCCATATGAAGTGGTTCAAGAGGGTATTCATGGCTTCAGAAGTACAAAGACTAACATTTCAAGGTAGCCCTGTGGTAAAGGCAAATCACAAGATAAAGCAGTATGTATTAGTGTTTTTGCAACCTTTTGAATGATCTGGTTCATATCCAATCTTCATTTTGCACAAAATCGAGTCCTTCATCACAGGAATCTATTGTAATCACTTGCTTCCTTTTAAACTTAAAAGAACCACCAAAACACCAATACTTGCTCCTTTTCCTAACTCAACCTTGGAAAGAAACCAAATTAAATATTCAACATTACTCAACAAAGAAGTATGTACTAGTATTCTTTTCACCCAATTATAGGTCTCAAGACTTACAACTTAACTGGTAGCAGATAGCGGCTTTTCTTGGGTGGCAGCCCAGCTCCTTTGAAAACTAAGTAGTGCTCCAGAGGAAGCTGAAGTAGTTACAATAACACTCTTGGAAAACTTAATATGTCCCAGGCACTTACATATGTTATCTAATTTAATCTGGAAGAAGACCAAGTTTTGTGTGTCCTCATTTTATGGATGAGGAAATTCAGGTATAGAGGTTAAGTGACTTCACTTGTCAAAGATACCTAGGTAAGAAGAAGTTGGATCAGGATTCAATTCCAGACAGCCTGGCTCCAGTAGTTGATCTTCTAGTTGCTAAGTGCAGTGATGCTGAAAGTAAATCTTAGGAAAATATTTTGATACAAATACTGTAAAAAGTACACGAATCCCAGCAAGCTAAGTCTGGGACCCAGGCTCATTGTTTAAGAGTGAAGGTGGCTTATCTCTACTTTTAGAAATCATATATCTTAGGGTAGTTCATCCAAGATTACTATAAAAGAAGTTGAGACTGTGTCTTCATCAGTTTCCTTCCAAGAGTTAATTCTAATTAACTCATCTATTTTATTTTGCTTGGTGATAATCCTATAAGTAAACATGCTGGGAACTTTGTTTTAGCCACTAAGGAACCCAACATAGTCTTCATTTACTCAAATAATACATTCTAAACCAACCAATTCCAGTGCTTAGACCTCAGTGCTCAATCTGACTCTCCCTGCTTTATAAGGAAAACATAATTACATCTTTCATTAGAATTTAGGAAAATTCCCAACAAAAACTAACAAAAAATAAGTAATATACAGTTAGACATGTGGAAGCATGGAATGGAAAATTTGAATTTAGATCATTTCAGCTACAGAATAAAAAATGGAGATTATTTTTTATTTTTATTTTCCATTTTGAGACAGGTGTCAGTTGTCAAATGCCTAAGTTTGGACTTGAACTTGTGATCTTCTGTCGCAGCCTCCCAGAGTGCTGGAATTATAGGCACATGACCCCATTCCTGGCTGGAAAATGTATTTGAAGAGTGCAAGACAAAAAATTGATGATGAAAAGATCATTGTAATAAATGAGGCAAGATTAAAGGGATCTGAACAAATTCAGTTTTAGTTGCTTTTTTCTTGTCCTTGAGACAAAATATCAAGCATCCAAAGTTAAAGAGGAAAAGATTTATTTAGTTTACAGCTTGTAGAGGTTTCAGTCTATAATTGGCTGGATCCATGGCTGGGTATCCTGGCAGAGGCACATCACAGAGAAAAACAGTTTATGGCACCCACAAAGTAGCAAAAATAACAAGGGTCCTTAACAGTGTCTTTCTGCCCCTTTTATCTTAGCCAGACTACTTAGGATGAGCAAAACTCATACCCTTAATCCTAGTGCCCTTGAGCCTAGCATGGTACCATGACTCATTCCAGCATCACACACTCTAGATTAAGCCACCACTGAAAAAGCCCCTTCTATGATTGCATGAGGCTTTGGGGATAGGAAACATCTAAACCTAAACCATAACACAGTGGTAATAAGTTGCTCTAACCTGAGGGGGGCGGTGATTAAACAGAAAGAAACCACATAAAAGGAAAGCTGGGTGGGACCTGGCCTCTCTGATGCAGAAACAGTGACAACCCAGCATGGTCTGACTCTATTTATACACTGTAAAAAGGGGTTAAAGCACAGTGATGGAGCCGAAGTGCAAGGTCTCAGTGTTTTGCTGAGAACCCTGAATGCAAAACATTCTGAACTATCTGTGTTATAGTTAACAGGAAAGAATACCAAGGCCTGAAACTTGCTGGACTGACCTTGCTCTAGTCCCCACAACTTGTTTATATGGCTTGCCTCTGGCTTCCTTTGTCCTTAGGACCAGCTTTGCTCTAGTCCCAAGGAATTTGTGGACTTCAGGCTCTGTGGTGGCCTAACAGCTCCCTACAATAAGCACTGATGGGAGAAGGCATGTTAAAAAAACATTTAGATCTTTTACACTTAGTATGGGGACACCAAAGGATGGAGCAAAGGGAGAAGGAAAGAAGGGGAAGGGGATAAAAAAGATAATTAAGATATGTTAAGTATATGTACTAATTAATCACAAGGAATGTGATTATGTATACAAATGTGCTAATAAAAACACTCAAAATTCAGAAAAAATAAGCAAAAGAAGCAACATTATAATGTGGTTTATGTGCTATTTTCCCTATAGAACTCTTAATGTCTCATTTATCCTGCTTTGTCCCTTGAAGGAGGTTGATCTCTATGGACTGTATTGAATGATCTCCTTTACTGGTTGGTTTTGGGTTGGGTTCTACTTAATAGGGAGCACTAGGAAGAATTTGGACAATAGAGGCAGGAAAAAGTCAAGGAATTCTCTCTGGTACTTATGGCCACACCTCCATTCAGGGACCTCCTTCCATGGTTATAATTCTTTCTGAGTTTAGGTTGTAAAGTCACCACGTTTTGCCTCTTCAGGCCGAGAGACTGTAGTAGACACTAACTATTGCTAGCCCATAAACCTTATTAAATCTCTTTCTTATTCCTCTTACTTCTGTTAAGTCCTTTATGAAAATTCCCTGGAATTAAACTCTTTAAGTCTTTTTCCTGCTGCAACTTTTATTCATAAAGATTAATGGGGAAGGAAGATGAAAAATCTAAAAAGTTGATATGATTCTTAAGTTTATTTTTTTCCAGGATGCATTTTCTTAAGTGCTTTATTAATATATTCTCTATTCAGATTTCTGAAACCAAAACTTTGGTTGGCATCTCTAGCAGGGAATTTAGGGAGGTTCTCCAGAATCATGTATAGTACTTGGTACTGAGTAACAATCAGTAAGTGTATTTTTCCTTATATAGTTTTTGAACTTTCTGTCAAATTATTATAAGCCTTTGTTTACTAAGATTCTGAATAAATTATTGACTTGGGCATTATTATATAGTTTTATATTTAACTTTGAGTTTTAGATTTTGAAATGAACATGGAATAATTAGACAACGGCTATTATAAAACATCAAAAGCCCTAGCTAGTTAAACAAGGCGGAAACAACAATGTAGAAGGTAGAAGGTAGACTCAGTTCAAATTTCAGTACTCAAATAGTTGTTTGGTGTTGGTCAATCCAATTATAAACTTTTCCTCCAGCCAGTAATTTAGTATGACAAACATCTATTCATCATATAACAACTTAAAAAGAATTCAGTTTAGAAAACCTTCACAATTCTTGTTAAGCCATAAATTATATTTTTATTCTCTACACTGAAACTAAATTTCATATTTCATACCCTAAATACTTAAAATATTCTAGCCATTATACTCAGAAAGTTTTAAAAACATACTCATGTCCAGGAAAGCCATGGTAGCTGAGGGAGGCGGATCACAAGTTTAAACCCAACCTGGTCAACTCAATGACTTAGAAAGACTCAGTTTCAAAATAAAAAATAAAAAAATGGCTGAGGATGTAGCTTAGTATAAAGCTTAGTGTGTTTAATCCCTAGTAATAAAAAAAACAATAAAAATTCATGGACAGACTCCACCGCAGCACAATTAAATTGGGTTGTTGAGGAATGTGACCCAGAAATGGGTATTGTTTAAAAGCTCACAAAATAATCCTAAAATGCACAAAGGTGAAAACAAGGCCCCACAATGAAATTTAAAAAAAACCAGGTCACACTAAATATATGAATACAAGAACCTCAACATTCATGAACACAAGAGACTTTGTGCCTGATGTTTATCTCTTCTTAACAAACTTTCTTTTAGTGTTTTCTAAAGCTCCTACTAACTTTTAACTTCTGTGTATTGCAAAGTTCACTGAGAACCTTTAGTTGATGTTGTAGTCAGAGTTTTCAAAGGAAAGGAACTAAGTAAGGATGAATCATTTATCAATTATAATATTCACCCAAGGAGTCAAATGCAAAAGAGTATAGGAGATCTATCCACACACTAGAGATCCAAAGAATCCAGCTGAAGACCTAGATCCCACGACAATGTCCTGCATGTCAAGCTTAAGACTTAGGACC